TCTTATTTTTTTTTTATATATATATATATATATATATATATATATATATATATATATATATATACTTATTTATTTATTACAAATAAATCATTTAGAAATTGTTTATTTATAAATTATATTAATTATTTTTTTAATGCTGTTTTTTTTTTTTTTTTAATGAACAAGTAAAATAATTTCCTGTGGCAATCGGTGCAAAATTTTATTGGAATATTCCATTAAAGCCTTTGGTCAGCTCCAAGTTGCGATTCAGCATTCCAATCTATTTCTTAAATGATTTAAAATGACTAAATTCGTCCCAAAGTTCCTTATCTCACTTGTAGAAGGTAGAAAAGATGCTGATAGGCCTCCAGTTTCTTCCTCTTCTCTTTGCTCAGACCCTTGATGCCCTGCTTTTCCCCCATGGCCAGATCTTCTTTGTTCATTTTGTTCTTTTTGCTCTTCATCTTTTTGCTGTGTGACACCACATCCTACCAGAGGAGACAACATAGCAGTAGATGGAAAAATTAGAATGGGTCAAGGGTTCATACTCGACTGGTTTGGACATCTGTAGCTGCTTCTACTCTCATGAAACTCCTAAGAATACAAGTATGCTGTTGTTGTTGTTTTCTCTCCGTGATGTGTATTTGCTTGCAGTAGCACTTCACATCATGGGAAAACAGAAACCTATGCACATCAAAGGATAATGTATCTCAATCTCATTAAAATATATCCAACAAGCAATTCAAAGAGATTGTTAAGCTTTATGGATCATTTAAAATCACCGCATGAAAGCACTGAAAGCAAACTGCATCTAACCTGTAGTGTGATCCTGTTTTTTACTAACAGGCCAATTTTAATATCCATCAAATTCAGATCCTTTTCCATTTGCTGATTAGAACGAATCTTGGTGACCACTTCCTCTCTGAGCCGTGTCACTTCCTGTTCCTCCCGTAAATCGAGGCTGCTTTGTTCCAGCAAATGTACAAATTTACGGACCACTGAGAGAGGGGGGTGCTGAGAACCGGCTGTTTGAAAAACAGAAAAACACATTCATCTTTACCTTACAAACCAATCATCTGTCTATGCAAGTAAATGTAAATTAATTAACATATTAAATATAATGCTATTGACTTACTCAAGGTTCTGTAGTCAACTCTTGCTTTGTTAGCCTTAAGGTAAGCTTGAATCTTCACTATTTCTTTCTCCTGAGCATGACACACAGAATATGCCATTTTCATGAGTATAACTGATAAAGAAGCTGCTCGTTCACATCAGTGCTTGTGTGTGACTTACATGGTCTTTGAAGTACTTCAGTCTCCTTGTGTAGCTTCGTTTAGCTTTCCACATCTTCACCAGTGACTGTAACTAAATTACAGAGGAAACAAGTTTTCATATTATGAATACTGCACTTCAAAGCAACAAGGAAAAATATGATGAAATACTGTAATAAATGAGCATCAGTGATAGGACCGTTACCTTAATCGCACTGCTCACACTGTCTTGGAAGGTCTTTAGTCTGTCCTTATAGACTCTTCTCTGTTTGTAGCCCTTCCAGGATGCCTGTAATCATAAACCAAAGCCCATGTGAAATAGACCACATCACATATTTGTTCCTAGAGAATATTGTTAGTTTATTTTCCTTTGAACTGAGCTGTAAAGAAAACAATACAACTCTAGAATTTATAGCCAATATGGTTACTAAACCCTTTTTTGTAATACTTTCTTTGTATAATGTTGATATTTCGTTGCTATTGCTAATTTTATTGTCTCTTAATGTTTTGAGGAGTTAACAGAAGAGTTAATCATTTAGATTTACAAGCTTTTGATGTGTAAATGTCATATTACAAAAACTATGAAACTACTCGCTATAATTGTTTTCTTTAATAAACAATCCGAAAAAAAAAACTGAAATAATATTATAAAATAATAATTTAACTTTTTTTTTTATGCTAAACAATTAAAAAATGTTGAGTCTTGGAGCTTTCAAATTAGGTTAGTGGCCTGGCATACAAGTAATCAAGTTAAGTATCAATACTTTACATTAAACAGTTAAGCACCTGCAGTTTGATGACACTCGGCTCTTGCTTTCGCAGGTACTTCAACCTGTCATTATGTGCCCGCCTCACCAGGTATCCACGAATCAGGGCCTGAAGCTGGATGATGAGCGCCTCATTGGCCAACCACAGCTGCTCTCTGTTATACTCTGCTGTTACACTGCTCAAAACACTCTAGTTAGGGGAAAGAAAACATGAACAACAGAGCTTACATACTTTAATTCAACACTAAAAACTGTAAATGTACAGTATATCTGTCCTGAAGACCTACCTGAATATCTTCTTTGGTGAGCTGTGAACTGTCATGGACAAAATTATCTGGCTCAACCCATGTCCCTTCCTTGCTTTCAATGTTGTAGAAGTAGTCATATTTATCCTTGATCTTGTGTTTCACCCATAAACTGCCACTAGTTCCTACAAAAAAAATGTAATGCAATGTGAATGCAATTCTTCATAAATAAGTTATTCTTCACAGGAGCTCTAGACGTGTATTTGTCTCTGTCTGAAATCAAATGAATCAGTAAATGTTTTAGATGATAGGACTATTTACAACTATTATTTAACAATTTATCAAATTAAACTGGCAAATTTGTACACATTTTACACTATTAGGATTGTTAATGGTAATGAAAAAATATACAAGAATACACTACTGTATCACACACAATATGCTGCTAAATATATAATAAATTCTATAATTTATAAATAATATTTTCTAACAGCATGAAAAGAAATTCTCCAGCCTAAAAGAGTAAGGCAGATAAGTTAATGTTCAGATTAAAGCTAGACCTTCCAGATCGCAGTCATCAGGGGTGAGATAGAATTACCTTGTTCTGTTTGAGTGCTCTGTAAGTGAGCGAGCTGGCTGTGGTAGACATGAGCACATTCAGACAGCACCGCTCGAAGACCTGCATCAGGACACTGCAGAGCAGCTAGTGTGGCCTTAGCATCTCCCTCAGATACTGCCCTGTTAATGTCTGCTACTGCCTCAGCCACTGAAATCATTCACACAAACTTAAGAATTCATTTTATTTTCTTAGTAGTAATGTTTCAAGATAAACACTTACTGGACTGACTGAGGTAACTTAGGTTTATTTGATTATCTATACATCCTCAAACCATGTTAAAATGTATCAAATATGGTATAACATACCATGTTTTGCCCCTCTCAATAAACACTGCAGAGCTTCATAAAACTAAACATTTAAATATCATGTAACTAAGGCATTATTTTAAGATAACAATGTGACAACTGATATTTATAGATGAACCGATGTAAGTAGTCTGACATAGTGTTTTAAAAATCTCATTGATTTACATCACAAGCTATGAGAATTTCACCTTACTTTTTGGTCATGTAAATATCAGCAGCTGCACCTAATTTCAGGCCTCTGAATAAAATGTAAATGTTTATTTCCTCCTTGAGAATGAGCTCCTTATTCTTTTATATCATACTAAATAAGCCATAAATGCCTTGCATATCAAAGATGCTACTCAACAAAAACAAATACTGTATGCAACCTTTTTTATTAATTTTTAAAACATTTTGTCTAAAGGGTCATTAAACTGTTCCATTTAAAAATATATATTTTATGACTATTATTTCAAATGTTAGGCTTTACTTTTGTAATCATTGAGAATGGGTAAAGTCACAGTTCTTCCTAAGACTATATTTTAATTTGTGTAAATGTTATATAGATTACATAAAGATTTTACATGTATAAAATAAAAAATGTTTACATATTTTTACTGTAGTCTGTAAGTATTGTACAACAGAGTTTAAATATTAAAGTTAATAGACCTGAAAGGTCATAGGTAATTATGTGGATCATATGTATTAATGCACATCCTTTATAGGGATGTGTATAAGAAATGAATAGACTGAACAGAAAAGCTAATCCTACAGCTTTCATGCAGCTTATATTTGGTTGCACACTTACATTTGAGTGCGTCCTCCTGGTCCCGGTTGGCAGTGTGCACGGCCGCCTGGATCTGGTCCAGCCACAGCACAGCAGATTCATCTCCAGAGCTCTGTTACAGCACAACACACAGTCAGCACATGCTCCATACAAACAAGTGTAACTGAACACACTGTCACAGGGCAAACAAATCATCTGCTACTGCAGACCAAATTACTCTAAATCTAATCAACCAAATCAAGTAAAGGTGGGAGACATTTTGTGCAACTATCACTGGTTAAATCTCTTTGGAAAATAGAGATTTAGGGAGTGTTTTCACAGCAGTCATATAAATAGCATCTCAATACAGATGTCAAATGTTAAGCAAAGGTTTAACTTAAGATTTTGAATAATATACAGTATGAACACTGATGAACAATGTAATAAAACATATCCATGCTTTCCTTTATGAGACAGAAATATAGTACAGTACTTGGTCTATTACGTTTCCCTACTTTAGGAACATTCCCACAGTAATAGAGAAGATGTGGTTTAGTCAAAACAGACCAAAAAAGAGGTGTGAATGCATACAGCGGGTAAAATAAGTATTGAATACATCACCATTTTTCTCAGTAAATATATTTCTAAAGGTGCTGTTGACATTACATTTTCACCAGATGTCGGTGATAACCCAAGTAATCCATACATACAAATAAAACAAAACAAATAATTTCAGAAATTAAGTAATGTGTATTAAAATGGAATGACACAGAGAAAAAGTATTGAACTACTGAAATGTATTTAATACTTCGTACAAAAGCTTTTGTTGGTAATGACAGCTTCAAGACGCCTCCTGTCTGGAGAAACTAGTCGCATGCATTGCTCAGGTGTGATTTTGGCCCATTCTTCCACAGAATCTCTTCTATGAACTCTGATCTTTAGTTCTTATTTTATATTGGATTCAAGTCAGGTGATTGTCTGGGCCATTCTAGCAGCTTTATTTTCTTTTTCTGAAACCAACTGAGAGTTTCCTTGGCTGTGTTTGGGATCATTGTCTTGCTGAAATGTCCACTCGTTTCATCTTCATCATCCTGGTACTGTAGGTGTTGGGACTGAATCAGCTAATATTAATTTCCACTGACTAGGGGCAGGATTCCTTTCTAATTACTGATAGATTTCAGCTGGTGAGTTGGCTTTCCAAGCCTTTTTGCACCAACCTTTCTTCATGTGTTCAATACTTTTTCCCTGTGTCATTCCATTTTATTACACATAACTTAATTTCTGAACTTGTTTGTTTTGTTTTATTTAGTAATTTCTTTATTTGTTCTTATTTTATTATTAACTGCATAGCCTCCTTGTCATTTTTTTTTATTCAATTCAAAGTTTCAAATCAAGCTATCTCGTGCTACTGCAACAAAATTACCCAACTGTAAAATCAAAAATACACAGAGTGAGCAAAACTTTGTTTAATTACCATTATAACTAGCTATCTCACAATGTTTACATATGAATAAAAGCTACTGATTGCCACCATTGATAGACACATTTCTTTTTATAAAATTAAAAATATCTGTATGACATTATATTCTGCAGTTCTTCCCTGTTGTACTGAATAGCTACACTTTTCAAATTATCATATCGAAGTTAGAAATTCAAATACTGTGACAAAATTAATTTTGTAGGGTGCCACAAATTTGTTAAAATTTCCAAAGGGTGCCGCGACTAAAAAAAGGTTGGGAAACACTGCTCTATGTGACGGGACCTGTTGCAGTGTTAATTGTGAACACTAGATGGTGACATTGTGTCATCTTCAGTGAACAACTAACAGTCAGGACACAACTATTGTAGTGCCAGTTCATGTAATAAATTATTAAAAGTATTAGTAAATGTCTCACAAATGGGGCTAAAACCCACCTAATATATACATATATACATATACAGCGGGTAAAATAAGTATTGAACACACCACCATTTCCCCAGTTAATATATTTCTAAAGGTGCTGTAGACATTAAATTTTCACCAGATGTCGGTAACAACCCAAGTAATCCATACATACAGAGAAAACAAAACGTTCAAAAAAGTTCAGAAATTAAGTTATGTGTATTAAAATGGAATGACACAGAGAAAAAGTACTGAACTACTGAAATGTATTTAATACTTTGTACAAAAGCCTTTGTTGGTAATGACAGCTTCAAGACGCCTCCTGTCTGGAGAAACTAGTCGCATGCATTGCTCAGGTGTGATTTTGGCCCATTCTTCCACAGAATCTCTTCTATGAACTCTGATCTTTAGTTCTTATTTTATATTGGATTCAAGTCAGGTGATTGTCTGGGCCATTCTAGCAGCTTTATTTTCTTTTTCTGAAACCAACTGAGAGTTTCCTTGGCTGTGTTTGGGATCATTGTCTTGCTGAAATGTCCACTCGTTTCATCTTCATCATCCTGGTACTGTAGGTGTTGGGACTGAATCAGCTAATATTAATTTCCACTGACTAGGGGCAGGATTCCTTTCTAATTACTGATAGATTTCAGCTGGTGAGTTGGCTTTCCAAGCCTTTTTGCACCAACCTTTCTTCATGTGTTCAATACTTTTTCCCTGTGTCATTCCATTTTATTACACATAACTTAATTTCTGAACTTGTTTGTTTTGTTTTATTTGTATGTATGGATTACTCGGGTTGTTACCGACATCTGGTGAAAATGTCAACAGCAACTTTAAAAATATCTTTACTTATAAAACTGGTGACATGTTCAATACTTAATTTACCCGCTGTATGTGGGGAAAAAAAATTATGGAGTTAAAGGGTCATGAAACCCCAGATGACATTTTCTGAGATTTTAGCAGAGGTGTTTGTGTTGCACATCATAGAAGACAATGTTAGCATCGAATAATTTTAACTATTGGAGAAAATTGTTAATTTTAAGCTTTGTTGCGCTATTTTCATCTTCCAGGTTTAAAATCTACATTGTGCTGACTTCACAATTTGTGACGCGGCAATGGACTATAGTACATCGATGTCGCATCAGTGTCTATTAAATTATTCATGAGACTGTGTGTTCTTATCCTATGAGAAGACGCTTCGCTTAATTATTCACAATAGCATGTGTTGATTTGCCATGACAGACGCTTCAGACTGGGAGATCGCATACATTATCTGAGAGAAACGTTCATGAATCAAAGGAGAGTGTTTGTTTTTGCTTTTTTAATAAGAGTTTGGCTCAAACGTGATTCATTCACTTGAGTATAACGGTGAGTATAACCGTTTTTACAGCTCCATGACACAACCTGTCAAAAGGCTTATATAATCGCCGCAGCATAAGCCTTAAAAAGTTATCAGAGGTGCAACAGCACGTTCATGTATGTTCCCTTTCATGGGAACTTCGAACTGCGTCCTCTAGGGGTCGCTATGGGGAACGCCTCGTCGTGACCCGTGTCTGAAGCATACATTGAAAAAACACCAACTTGTTGGCCGGCGACAACCATGACATCACTACCAGTGCGACTATAGTATAAATAGGCGCCGGGAGCTACACATCATTCTCTTCTTCGTCTTCATTGACTGTTTTGTTTGAAGCGTGCATTTCTGTGGTAAGAGCGATCTCTATTTATCTCATTATGGCGAGCACTAGCAAAGCATTTAAGGATGTGTGCATCCGTGTTGACGTTGTTTAACATCTGATGACACACACAATCTATGCGTTGTTTTTGTTTGGGCAAAGAGCACGCGATGTCTCCGAGGGGGCAATCGGCGTGCACTGCGAGCGTTTTTTCCAAGAGAGAAAAATAGCTCCCGGCGCCTATTTATACTTTAGTCGCACCGGTAGTGACGTCATGGCTGTCGCCGGCCAACGAGTTGGTGTTTTTTCAATGTATGCTTCAGACACGGGTCACGACGAGGCATTCCCCATAGCGACCCCTAGAGGACGCAGTGTCTCGTTCCCTACTCAGGGAACCATGGTTACATAAGTAACCTGAGACGTTTTCGATACAGAGTGCAAATGGCTGTGCATTTATTTGTGTTTTTACGTGTTTTGATGGGAGCAAAATGAAACTGTCTGAACCCGAAGCTGTGTGTGTTGTCTGTCTCCCCTCTTCCCCCTCGGCTCGCAGCACACCACGCCCACTTTTTTAGCATTTTTTAAAACTGTGGTGAGAACTAACCAGTGCTGAAACAGGGGGTTTCATGACCCTTTAAAGTGTATTCAAATAATTCATGTAATATTGTCAAATTGGGTGGCCAGATTGCAGATTGACTGTGATGATAGAAAAAAGAAATCACAAACCTATAATATCGACTGCTGTGAAAAACTAAAGATTTATCATTCTACTGATCATTTATTAACACTGATATTCAGAAAGACAAAAATAAATACAGTTTTCTTTATCTGAAAGGAGAAGATATGAAGAAAGAAAGAAAGAAAGAAAGAAAGAAAGAAATTATAGGGACACATTTATCCAATAATGGACTTGTGGCCAGAGACATTTTCAAAATACCATTTAAACATTCCTCTATGCAATTTACGAACTATTTGTGGACAGATGTTTGTAAATAATTTGGTCCATGAACTGCATTTGGAGGAAGTCTCTCATCTCGCAGCATTTCCTGACATGCCTGAAAAATTTGCCCTGAGCAATTCTGACTCAAGACTCCCTAAGCCCTTGACAGGAAACCAGCAACATATCACACCCTTCGATGTAGACTCCTAACTTGACAGTTATTTGTCTAGAGAGTGATCCTCAAAAGAGTCACTTGTAGATCATGTCTAGTTTGATGAACAATAGTTTGTAAAAAACTGGAAAAACCTTTCAAACATGTGGAGATTTTTTGTGCTGCTGCTATTACCATTAATGTTTGAGGACTCACTTCAAGATTCAGGTAAGAGAAAAACGTTTCTCTTTCATTTAAAGATCAACAGCTGATTGCTATGTGGTAGAGATGTGAATTTGCACTGAAATCAAGACTTTTGTGACAAAGAAAACTTGAATTGCCCTTTAACTGACTTGATTCTTTTAGTCAGAGCTACTGTAGCAGTCTACGGCGATCAACATTTTCAATCACCTAAAATAAATTATTCTCTAAATACAATGTGTCAAAATCTAGCAACATAACAATGGTGAGTTTGGGAATTTTAGGTGGTCATACACTGCTGAAAGAACAACAAAAAGAGTCAGACATTACCCCAAAAATAATACACTAAAATAAATTAAATGTAGTAAGTAAATATAATGTTACATAATTAAAAATGTAACACTTTAAATCAATTATTAACCTTAAAAAATGTTTGTCATGTGGTAAATCTGGAACATCTGTGCCTATAATATTAAAAACTAAAACTGAACAACCTTTATTTAATTTCAAAAACTGTCTGTTCAACTGGTTTTAATGTCTTTGGTCACTTTAAATTTCAAAGTCAATTCAGTGTTTTCCAGATTTTCTAGATAATAAAGTAACAAAAATATGTATGCATTAGCATTGAATGTGTAATGTTCTTATTATTGACTACACAAATTGACTAAAACTTGAAGCCATGTCAGCTATTAATTATTATCCAATCTAAAAGTTTCTGTAGAATTATATTCACTTCATTTTAAATGTAACCACATTTTCATTATAGATCTGTGTGAAATGTAATTACTAAGAACACCCTGTATAACAGTTTAACATTTTTTCTAACCTTTCTTTTTAGTATCAAAAGATTCCAGAATAATTTTTCCAAACAAGCCACCTCACCCAAAAACATATCCTGGAACAATGGTCTTTAACTCATCCTCCCAGGTGCCTGTGATAAACGTCAGTGCCAATGTCATCGATCACATCACTGGAATTGTCAGCACTAGGATCATTCCATCCGCGTACATCCTAGCCATCCTTATCGGGATCCCCTCTAATGTCTTTGTGTTAACCTGCCTCAGCGGAAGAAAGAATCTTTCCAGTGGTATCCTATATTTTAGCCTAGCAGTTTCAGACCTCCTCTTGCTACTTTCCCTCACACTCAGAGTCCACTATCACCTCAATAACAATGACTGGATCTTTGGAGAGCTCGCCTGCAAGGTGGTGATTGCCTGCTTTTATGGGAACATCTACTGCTCGATCCATGCCCACATGTGTATTAGTGTGATGCGCTACCTTGCGGTGGTCCACCCATTCCTCTACAGGACAATGTCAAAAAAGTACTATGCGATCTGCACCAGTTTATCCATTTGGATGGTTTTTTCTATTGCGATGCTACCTGAGTTTATGATTCAGCAAAGCTACCAAGTTCTTGAACAAAATATGGTGACATGTCATGATATCCAGTCCTATGAAAAAGCTTTCAACCGAGCTTTGATTCCATGCAGACTGAGTCTGATCTGCCTGGGGTTCATCCTGCCATCATTAGTCATCACATTCATTTACGGATCCATCATTTACCATCTAAATCGTTCCAGTCATGACTGGAAACACTACATGAAGGCCAGTACGTTGGTGTTTGGGATCTTTTTAGTGTGCTTTGCCCCATGTAATGCACTTCTTTTTGCACACTATGTGAAGCTGTACACTCAGCAGCAGTATGACTTGTATTATTACTACAAAGCAGCCGTATGTCTGTGTTCTTTCCACAGCTGTCTGGACCCCTTCCTCTCATATCTCCTCACAAAGACTTCCACTTCCCAAGTCAACTTTAGATCTTTTAGCTCTAGACCTTCGATGGCTTTGTCCATGAGTTGAGTTCTTTTAAATACCAGGATGTTTGTGTTATGGCCTGCGAGGGGGACTTCCTTATCTAAAATGGCTTAACAGTGGGTTGAGGATGTTGTGGTTGGACTTCCCACTTTTTACTTTAGAAGAGGCTCCTGACTTGATCAGGAGTTGGACACTTACACTCAAGTGTAAATATGAAACTAAGTCAAGCTGAATACAAAATATTTGAGACCAGGAAAGTTGAGGGTTGAGTAGAAAGTGTCCAGATGATTTATTTAAGAAAAGAGTATCTGAAATAACAGATGTAACCTCTTAAGGCCCGTTCACACCAAGAATGATAACTATAAAGATAACGATAAAGATATAGTTCTAAAAATTGTTCTAAATATTAAAGAATAGCAGAGTTCACACCACAACTATAACAATAAAGACAACGAGAAATGATATCGTTGGAATCATTTTCAAAATGATTTTTCTGAAAAATTAGCAGCCAATCAGAATCCATCCTGCTGTAACGAACTCAAGAATTTAAAGCGGCAGACACGCGTGCGCTTAGAATAAACAGATGATATCGTTCGCTGGTGTGGACGCTAATATTGTTATCTTTATAGTTATCGTTCTTGGTGTGAATGGGGCTTTAGACATTTCATTGGTTCAGCACTGTTATTCTGTTTCACCTTGCAGATGAGGTCTTTGGTGGACAGCAGTAGATTGTGATAGTGTTTGGCATTGGCTGGATTGACTCCCTGTATTTTAGCTGTAGGGAGTAGGAGGGCAGCAAGTGTCTTCTCTGGATCTCCAGAATTTAGGGCTTCGTTGATCTCAGCGATAGCGATGACTCCTACACAGGAAACATGGGAATTGTATGTGCTCAATAATTGGAATATTCAATGGAATATTGTCAATGATTAAGAAAAAGACAAAAAGGTCCTACATTTGTTGTTTACACATTAACATGTTGTTTCAAGATCATGTATAATGTTTTATATTATAGTTGAATGCTGATCAAAGCCTAAATGTTTACTTATGAGAATCTTTAAATGTTCAATAAAACTTTTTTTGTGAGATTTCAATACATTGGATAAATGAAGTTCAATTCATACACATTATGGAGTAACTTTCTATAAAACAGACATTCTTTGTATGGTAGAATTTAATCATCTTAAAATGTTCATTGTAAAAGAAAAGTCTATGAAACACATAATTACTAAGAAGACCACTTAGTCTGTTTTTATTATATTACATAAATTCATTAAAACCGAATACATTTTGAAAGGTAAAAAAACTATTGAAATACTTCCTTTTCAATCTTGTGTGGTGATCATTTTGAAATTTACAAAATGATCGAAACTTTACTATTCGAAAGTTTGGGGTTTTTGAAAGAAATCTCTTCTGTTTACCAAGGCTACATTTATTTGATTAAAAATAAAGTAAATTAAAACATTAATATTGTAAGATATTATTACAATTTAAAATAGCTGTGTTGTATTTTCTTATATGTGACCCTGGACCACAAAACCAGTCATAAGGGTCAAATTTTTTAATTGAGATGTATAAATCATCTGAAAGCTGAATAAATAAGCTTTCCATTGATGTATGGTTTGTTAGGACAATATTTGGCCGAGATACAACTATTTGAAAATCTGGAATCTGAGGGTGCATAAAAATCTAAATACTGAGAAAATCGCCTTTAAATTTGTCCAAAGGAAGTCCTTAGCAATGCATATTACTAATGATAATATATTTTTGATGTATTTACAGTAGGAAATTTACAAAATATATTCATGGAACATGATCTTTAATATCCTAATGATTTTTGGCATAAAAGAAAAATTGATAATTTTGACCCATACAATGTATTTTTGTTACAAATATCCCCAACTTAAGACTGGTTTTGTGCTCCAGGGTCACATATTTTAAAATGTAATTTATTCCAGCGATGACAAAGCTGAATTTTCAACAGCATGCTGCTGCTGATCATTCTGATATGCTGATCAAATCAATATGCAGATCAATATGATGATTTTGTGTCCAAGAAACTTTCTTATTATTATCAATGTTAAAAACAGCTGTGCCTTTTAATCACTTTGTGTAAACTGTAATACATTACTTCAGGATTCCTTGACGAATAGAAAAAGAACAGCATTTTTGTGAAAAAATTTTCTGTAACATTACTAATGTCTTTACTATCACTTTTGAGCAATTTATTGCATCCTTGCTAAATAAAAGTGTTAATCTCTTAAAAAATTGTACTCATCAAAAACTTTGAATGATATTGTACAATATATTTCAAAGTTTGCTTACTCTCATGTTCCTCCTGCTCCTGGACATTGACAGTGTCGATGCATTTCTGAACATCATTCCAGGTGATGAACTCTTGACCCTGAGCGAGGGACTCAGCTCTGAGACGGATCAGTGTGTCTGCGTATCTAACAAGCAAAACAACCACTTAATGAAGCAAATTCCTAAATTGTGTCTTAGTGTGCCATATAGTGTGACACCTCTCTCTTTTTCAGTCAGTAGCATCACTGTACCTCTGTAAATTGTCAGCATCCAGACCACTGAAGCCCAGTGGAGAGTCATTGAGCTGCTCAATGACGGCCACAGAGTCTTTAGTGTCCAGCACCTCATTTAACACAGACACAGCAGACAGCATCTCCACAGCTACACACAGCTCCTCATGAGTAAGACCGGCCTTGTTCTGAGATGGTAAAAAATGAAAACTAGTTTTGTAAGTAGAGACAAGAAAGAGCTACACATGGAATACGAGAGTTAAGAAAACTGACCTGACAGCCAAGCTGCAGGCTGAAGAGCTCGGCCTGGTACAGGCTAGCAGCAGTGTGATAGACGATGGGTAACTGAGCCTCTGGGTTCAGAAGCGCCTCCACGGTCTCTTCTGGAATGCCTCGTCGAATAGCTGCATTGATCGCAACAACCGCTTCCTGCTCTGTGTCCATTAAGAGCACAATAATCAGTAGTATCAGACAAGCAAACAAAATAATCATATAGGTTCATACTTAATAGGGAAATACAATATAAACTGGTGCTAAATCAGTGATCAGCTGCTTTTAGAGAGTTTTTTAATTGATCTGTATCAGTCCACTTTGGTTATATAATGGTCAATATTGGATATTTAAGCTCAGTTTCCCTATTTTAATATTCACCTCAGCCATTATCTAATGTTCACTAAATCTTTAAAAACATTAACACATTTTTTATTTAACTTACCATATCACTGTTAAATGTTTAGAAAAAATCAATTTGTTAGGACCATGTGATATTTCAGTTTTTCTTTTTTAATAAATCTGCAAAAATGTCAACAATTCTGTGTTTTTCTGTCAATATGGGGTGCTGTGTGTACATTAATGAGGAAAAAAATTAACTTAAATGATTTTAGCAAATGGCTGCAATATAACAAAGAGTGAAAAATTTAAGGGGGTCTGAATACTTTCCGTACCCACTGTATATATATTTATTTTATTTTTATTTTTTTTTTACATTATAATGGTGTATGTATAAATTCACCTGTCATGATTTGAATGAGAAACAATGAAATACAGAGCTTCATACAGTATCTACAGATACACTATATTCTAGGCTATTTTATCAGCTAGTCAAGGCTACATGAATGTGTGCAACATACTTCGTTTCTCAGCCTCTGCAAACTCGTTACAGGAAGTGATGACCCTCTGAATCTCTTCCCTCTCCAGCTGAGCACCCGCACCAGCATCCTGCATACGGATGTCATAAGTATTCTCATCAAACTCATTTGACTGAAAAGTAATTTTACCTGATACGGAAAGTCTGCTTTAGTACCTTAACTTTATGCTCCCTGTAGGATGTGAAGTGCTCCAGGTAAAAGCTGGAGTTGTCATCAAGGACTCCCACAAGACCAAGTGCAGGCAACCTAAGGCTGGCCAGTACGGCTTTCTGATCCTCAGCATCAAGAGCCTGATTTAACTGTTGAATAGCTTCTGATGCTAGAGTGAGAAAATTATTTTTACGTAACATTTATATAATACTATGCCATACAGTATGCATCAATTGCAGGGCATTCCATAAATAACTATCCATTAAATTACAAAATATATATGTTATATTATATGTTATGTATTATATGTATATGTTATAACATATGTATTTCCATGAAAGCATCCACATGGTCTCTTATGCTCACCTTAATCTAAAGTAATATATATATATATATTCCACCTAAATTTTAAGTCATACCTTTGATGTGTTAAAATTTTTTCAAACTTAAAAAAAAATAAAATAATTAAAACACTTACTGTTCACAAGGTCGACACTGCTCTGAATCTCCTGCTGAGTCAGCAATTCTTCATACACATCTCTCTCTTCAGTTGCAACAGACGAGCGCTGAACACACACACACACACACAATACAGAGGGTAAAATAAGTATTGAACACGTCACCATTTTTCTCAGTAAATATATTTCTGAAGGTGCTGTTGACATGAAATTTTCACCAGATGTCAGTAACAACCCAAAAAATCCATACATACAGAGAAAACAAAACAAATACGTTCAGAAATAAAGTTATGTGTAATAAAATGGAATGACACAGAGAAAAAGTATTGAACACATGAAGAAATGTAGGTGCAAAAAGGCTTGGAAAGCCAAGACACCAGCTGAAATCTATCAGTAATTAGAAAGGAATCCTGCCCCTAGTCAGTGGAAATTAATATTAGCTGATTCAGTCCCAACACCTACAGTACCAGGATGATGAAGATGAAACGAGTGGACATTTCAGCAAGACAATGATCCCAAACACAGCCAAGGAAACTCTCAGTTGGTTTCAGTGAAAGAAAATAAAGCTGCTAGAATGGCCCAGACAATCACCGGACTTGAATTTAATAGAAAATAAGAACTAAAGATCAGAGTTCATAGAAGAGATTCTGTGGAAGAATGGGCCAAAATCACACCTGAGCAATGCATGCGACTAGTTTCTCCAGACAGGAGGCGTCTTGAAGCTGTCATTACCAACAAAGGCTTTTGTACGAAGTATTAAATACATTTCAGTAGTTCAGTACTTTTTCTCTTTGTCATTCCATTTTAATACACATAACTCATACAAACTGAAATTATTTGTTTTGTTTTCTTTGTATGTATGGATTACTTGGGTTATCACCGACATCTGGTGAAAATTTCATGTCAACAGCACCTTTACGGAGAAAAATGGTGACGTGTTCAATACTAATTTTACCCGCTGTATGTCACACTTTATTTATTAACAAGAATTATTAAAAAAATAGATAGATTTGGTGGTGCAGAGGACAAGGTAAACTCAGGGAAAGTAATGAGAATGCTATTGGTTTGATCCCAGCAAGACATGAGCTATCACTATTGTGCCTGTGAGCAAAGATCTTAACACCAGGCTAAAAATTTAATAAAAAAAAAAATCCCTGAGCGGTAATACACTATTTACACAACCTTAGATGTGTACACACAACAAAATGACTATTCAACTGAGCCAGCATCAGGGGATCAGGTGATACTGGAGTCAGCAGAGTGTGTGAGGAGTGTTAGAGGGCATCAGCATTTAACTAGCAAGGCTGATTCTGTTATGTTTTAATCAAAATCCTGCTGATTTTGCAAGTAAATGAATGCTGGAGATTGTTTAAAAGGAGCCTTCAAAAAGAAACGCAGACAAACTTGAATTGTAGGCAACCTTTGGATATTTGCTTTCAGCAACTTATGAATAGTCCTCCCTGTAAATTAGTGCTCAATCTTTAGGTTAAAAAGATTCAGATATTCATGTGTCTGGGAGTTTTTATGGATTGCCTATGTATGACTAAAGCTGGGCTCACACTACAGGAGTTTAGCCCGATTTAACCCTAATTTTCCCCTCCTGAGAATCAGATCAAAAATCTTGTCGAGCACCTGATGTTCGGCGCAGATTATCTGGTAATGTGAGACATTCACAGATCGAATCTTGCACCTCTCGATCAGTTCACACACAAATCGGGGCCGCCCCGATCATATCAAACATGTTTGATATTTAGGATTTAAATCGGGATGATGACGGCTATATGATTACGTAAGTCACAATAGCCAATGCGCGACCGCAAAACAGCTGCTGTACAGCTCCGTTGGAGACTGAGGAAATTGCTTCTTGATGTCATGTTTTGTAGTTACACGACTGTCTGTATTAATGTGTTGAAAACGTATCACAACCATAAGGAGAAAGAGAAGCGCTGGGGGGAAAATCGCCTCAGTTTTGAATGTACCGGGTGAGTGTTAGCACGCTAGCTAACATTATGTAAACATCACTGAAATATCAATGATGATCTGCTGCGTGAGATCACGTGAGGCGCTCCCTCTGGCATGATAATCTTAATAATATCTTGTAGTGTGTGATACGCCATGGTTTTCAAATCTTGTAGTGTGTGCATGTTTAAGATTTGAGGGAAGACAATCTGCAAAGATTCTCCTTATGTGTGTGCTGCAACCAGATTTCATAATCGATTAGGATTTTAAGACTCCTGTAGTGTGAGCCCGGCTTAAGGCTTTGTTCATACTGTGCATAATTTCAAAAACCCAATTTAAATCAGATTTTAAATCACATACAAATGCGGCTTGCATTGGTTTTGCAAAACATTACTTCTGACAGGCAGAAATATTATCATTCTTGCAGCATAATATCCATATGACTGCTGAAAATGCTGCTTTGCCATCACAGGAATACATTATATAAAATATCTTACCAACCACAAAACTTTGAATGGAAGGGTTTTTCTAAACTTAAACTTAATATGAATATCTAGTTTACCCGTCCCGAAGCCTGATCCTCTTTCTTCCTCTTGGCTTTGCTCAGTGTGTCCTGGTAGTCCTGGGCCAATGGTTTCTGTGTGTTTCTCAGTAAGGCATTGGGGTTCTGCAGAGCCACCATTGTACTCTCTGCATGACCTTTGTCAATGGCCTCATTAATGGCAAAGACAGCAGCGTGTACTACAGATATAGATCAGAAAGAGAACAAATACATGTGATCCTGACAATGAAGATTATATATGTTTAATTAAAACATATGAATAGGAGAAACAGGTAAAGTCACTCACATGCAGCTTCATCTACTGAAAGCTCATTGGCCAGGATGCCACCGATCTTGCTGAAGGCGGGCATCTGGATGCCATATTTATCCAGTTCTTTCCTCATGTTGCTGATTTCTTCCTCTGTGGAAAGAGAATATGAAATGTCATCAATTAGGCTTATTTTACATGTATCTTAATTTATGCTATTACTGATAAAACCACTCATTTGTGGTAACCTATGGCATTTCATATAAGATCTGCAACTGTAATGCGTTTAAAAAACAACAATGGTTGTCTTGCAGTTCAAACTATCAACACAGATTGAATTATTGACCAACATAATATCCATATTCCATACTTATTCACTTAAAAAAAAACAAGGGCCTTGTTACTTTAAATCATTTTACAAGTGTGCCCAACACCAAACCACTACAGAAATCGTTTTCTGCAAAAACAGCTTGCTTTAATTTTCAGTGTGTTTTCACTTTCATTATTAATTCACTACATACCACATCATTATGACTTGAACTCAGTTTTCCTGATGATATATTTTATTAACAGCAGCACAATAAATAAGCTGAAGAGTTACACTCTGAACAGAGCTAAAGCAGTAATTACCTGTCATTACAATCCCATCATTAATCAAACCCAAAGAGCTAGGTTTCTGCAGAGTGTTCACTATCATTAAAACCTGAGGCACTTTTCTCCTTTTCTTTCTCCTGTGATCTGAGCTGACAGAGGTGGATCTACACTTCAGTTATGGATATAATTGCATGGCTGTGCTTGAGTTCTGTGATTGTAAGGGAGCACCACTATATGTGCTTCAAATCTCAAATGGATTGCAGATACCACATATTTATGACTGAAGTAATAGGTTAAGGATTAGCCTTTGAAAAAACTATTTGTTTATTTGGTAATATAATTACTATTGAAAGTATTAATATGTACTGTGGTTACAGGCAGACCTAGTACTTTGGACCTGAGCTACATTTTTTGATTTTTGTGAATGACTGTGGCATACCTGTAAAGTCTACTTTCCCCAACAAGTCCTGGATCTGAGGGGCAATTCCCAATTTGTACAGGTACAAGCTACACAAAGAAGAACAAATAAATACATACATAAATAAATGAACTATATAAAAGCGAGAGAATGAGATGTAATAAGAGACAGCAGAGAAAACTGGTCTGAGCTGAGGATGCACAATCATTTTGGAAGTTAAAATTATTGTGTATTTTCATTTCTCTCCAAAATGGTAGAATAATAATAAAAAAAAGTTTCCCCAAAGACAGTTGTTTAAACATTTATCACACATTTATACAGTACACTAAATTCTTTACTAAATAGTATTACAAAATTATTTACTAAAAATAAATAAATGCACAAACACATAGGAAAATATCATAAAATCACATATCATAAATCATAAACACCATCTCTTCAACTCTCTTAGCCTTACTACAATATGAAGAAGCAACATGTCTAACTGAAAGAAGCTAGTATTTAAGATTGAAAATTCTTTATTACAAATACAGTGGGTACGGAAAGTATTTAGACCCCTTTAAATTTTTCACTCTCACTCTTTGTTATATTGCAGCCATTTGCTAAAATCATTTAAGTTCATTTGTTTTCCTCATTAATGTACACACAGCACCCCATATTGACAGAAAAACACAGAATTGTTGACATTTTTGCAGATTTATTAAAAAAGAAAAACTGAAATATCACATGTTCCTAAGTATTCAGACCCTTTGCTCAGTATTTAGTAGAAGCACCCTTTTGATCTAATACAGCCATGAGTCTTTTTGGGAAAGATGCAACAAGTTTTTCACACCTGGATTTGGGGATCCTCTGCCATTCCTCCTTGCAGATCCTCTCCAGTTCTGTCAGGTTGGATGGTAAACGTTGGTGGACAGCCATTTTTAGGTCTCTCCAGAGATGCTCAATTGGGTTTAAGTCAGGGCTCTGGCTGGGCCATTCAAGAACAGTCACAGAGTTGTTGTGAAGCCACTCCTTCATTATTTTAGCTGTGTGCTTAAGGTCATTGTCTTGTTGGAAGGTAAACCTTCGGCCCAGTCTGAGGTCCTGAGCACTCTGGAGAAAGTTTTCGTCCAGGATATCCCTGTACTTGGCCGCATTCATCTTTCCCTCGATTGCAACCAGTCGTCCTGTCCCTGCACCTGAAAAACACCCCCACAGCATGATGCTGCCACCACCATGCTTCACTGTTGGGACTGTATTGGACAGGTGATGAGCAGTGCCTGGTTTTCTCCACACATACCGCTTAGAATTAAGGCCAAAAAGTTATATCTTGGTCTCATCAGACCAGAGAATCTTATTCAGGTGTTTTTTAGCAAACTCCATGCGGGCTTTCATGTGTCTTGCACTGAGGAGAGGCTTCCATAGGGCCACTCTGCCATAAAGCCCCGACTGGTGGAGGGCTGCAGTGATGGTTGACTTTCTACAACTTGCCCCCATCTCCCGACTGCATCTCTGGAGCTCAGCCACAGTGATCTTTGGGTTCTTCTTTACCTCTCTCACCAAGGCTCTTCCCCCCCGATAGCTCAGTTTGGCCGGACGGCCAGCTCTAGGAAGGGTTCTGATCATCCCAAACGTCTTCCATTTAAGGAATGGAGGCCACTGTGCTCTTGGGAACCTTAAGTGCAGCAGAAATTTGTTTGTAACCTTGGCCAGACCTGTGCCTTGCCACAATTCTGTCTCTGAGCTCTTCAGGCAGTTCCTTTGACCTCATAATTCTCATTTGCTCTGACATGCACTGTGAGCAGTAAGGTCTTATATAAGCTGTGTCTCATTTAGAAGGCTGCGTCCTCCGGAGGTCGCATTCGAAGGCTGCATACGTCATCGAGGCTGTCTCATTTCAGAAAAGCAAGTAGGACACTCCGAATGCGACCTTCTTTCACAGGATTTCGGAGGA